ACTTTTACAAGATTTTAGTTAAAAAAATTTCTTTAAAAATAAATTTCCCTGGGTACTCTGAAGTATGCCCAAAACAAGCCTGCACCTTCCCTGCTATGCACCCCAGCTGCACCGACACTTTCCTGCCTGCTGCTCTTTGAGCAAACACTGCTAGTTGCTGCTTCACCTTTTGCCTCAGGAAAGTAAGGCTACACCGACAGCCAGGCCTGGGAGCAGCAAGGCCCTGCGTTCCTACCCTGCGGCCTTTTAACAGCTTTATTAGCTTGAGTTTTACAAGTGCTGTTAATGTTGCATATGGTTCTGTAGCTTTAGTTCTCTTACCTTAGCCTTAGAAAAGTAGACAGAGATACATTTTAGGAATAAAAATGGTTTGTTTCCAATATTGGAGCGACTGCAGCAGAAATGCTCAGCTAGAAGAAAAATAGAGAGAAGGGAAAGTAACAATAAACAGCCCTACAATGTTGATGTTTGTGAAGTAAAATGCTCAGGGTGGTTACTGCCTAGCATCTGTCTGATTTTTTTTTTTTTTTTTTTTTACATTTTTTACTTAACACATTGTTAAATTATACATTCCTTTTGTTTTTACTCAGCTAAGATTATGTACCTATGCGTTTTAATTGGGGTCGTTTCAATTTCTGACAGGGTTGAATGGGCTTGCAGTTAAGCTTGTCCTTCTTCCCCTGAGATTGCACTCTGCAATTGAACCCTGAAAAACAAAACTTGAAATTTATTTTAATGCGCAGTGGCTCAGAATAAAAGGCAAGAAAGGCAGTGTGTAGGTCTTTAGGGTAATCTTCTATTATATATGGTAAGCTGTGCTTAATGGGTGTCAGTCTTTGTTTTCATAGCCTGTTATTAAGAAGTGTTTCCCTCAAAATAACGAGGATGGCTCTGCTCCCCTCCCATAGTTAATGCTCAGAAACAGGTTGTGGGCAGGAGCACAAGTGCTTGCGAAGCCAGGAAAAGGACAAGTGGAAGAGATGATTTTACACACCAGGTAAGCCAGACACTGGCGAAACAGCAGCGGAACTGGTATGGCAGCAGTTGTTCTGAGGACACTTTTTTGCTTTCTCCCTCTGTTCCTTCATCTGATTTTTCAGAACTCACCTTTGCTTTTGAACAGATGTAGATAGTCAAGACTACTCAGAGTTGTAATATACATTGCAACAGTCTTTCTTTTAAAAAAGAAAACAATTAAGGTGACCATTGCTGGTATGACTCTTCCACCACACAGAGGACATAGACCTTGGTCTGACAAAAAAAAAAAAAATAATTGCTGTGATGTAACAAGGCCTTTTAAAATTGAAAAGCAGGTCCTCTTTGTGCTTAGATACCAAATTTGGACAGCAGTGCTAAATAGTGGGAACACTTAAATTTGATTCTGGGCTGCTCTCCACCCCAATTCAAGTCAAAATAGTCATCCCCGTTCAGAGAATTTACATTTTGATACCTGTAGAAGGACAAGAAAAGTTTCATTTTCTAGGGACAGGAGACACTTTAATGGCACATTTTCCATAAACACACTGCGTGAATGAGGTATTATTCACATTCATCCTGAAAATGCTCCAAAAACACACACGATGAGCACAGTCAGTGATCCTCACTGAAACGTACACACTAGATTTTAATGGTAAACAATTACAACTATGGCACTACAGTACTTGAGGATATCCTAAAGCACATTGGAATCAACTGTCAAGGTGCCAATTACCTCATCGGTAAGACAGAGACACATCGGTAATGAAACATGGCTGGGGAAGCTTTTGACCACCAAGAAGCGTTATGCGTGCCATCGATTTAGCAAAATCCTTATAAATGGCCTCCTGCTTCTGATACAAGTCCACTTTTCCCTAGCTATCTGTGAAAGTTTTAACCTCTCATCTCCCACTGACATCTATGACCTCTTGGAAAAACACCTTCTGCCCGTACTATGAGAAGGAGCTCTCGGTCTAAGTGCCTTAGAGGTTTGCACAATTCTGCATTAAAATGCTCGGTATACACCACAGTAAAGCACTATTCTGAGAGCTGGAAATTTTGCAGTTTTGTTTTACAGAAGTCATGGCTCCAGTTGTATACATGGCTAAACAATGACTAACAAAAGGACACCCTTATATCAGGCAAATTTTGGTGACAAAAAAAACTATGCGAGTCTTTGAACTGTAGAGAGCAGTTGTTGCTTGCAGAGCAGACATGAGCAAGAAAAAAATTCTTGCCAGTTAGTGTGTACTATGATCAGCAGTAAGTAGAAAAGAAACATTTGGCTTAAATGAAATCAGATCTCTCCCCCCTCCCACAAGCTAGTAGATAAATATAGGATATACAAGTAAGGTTAAAAATGTAATACTAGGCCAGGTGCAGTATATGTTACTGGTTCAGTGCTCACTTACTTACTTTTTTTTTTTTTTTTTTTTTTTTGACACCACACTGAATAGAATACAGTGGATAAGCAGAGTTCTCCACCAGGAAGAGAAATATTTGTGTTGCCACAACAAACTGTTTGTACTGTCCATCTGGGTTTGCAGTGGGAGAAAGTTAGATTAGGAAAGGATTTATGATGGACTTGTTCCAGCAACGCATATGGCTGAGTCCTTATCACCACCTGCTGCAAGAACAAGACTGACGTGACGCGATTGCATTGTGTTCCCATGGCCATGGCTGAAATGGACCGTGCTGGATGCCACTGCCCAAGACCTTCATGTTACAGAGAAAAGATTACTGAAAGGACATACTGAAGTGAGACCATTAATTTGATTAAGGAAAAAAAAAAAAATAACTGGAGAAGTAGAAACGGCTTAAAATAAGTGAATGTTGATGAAAATTACAAATTTAAGTTCCTAAACATACACAAAGGCACATTTACATCACCGATTTGCAAGACCTGCATTCACTTGCCTACAGCAAGTTAAACTGTTTGTGGCCATGGCTAGTGGTGTATTTTAATATTTGTATTCCCCCAAAACTAAACTTCTAAAGCAAGCCAATTGAAGCAGCATGCAGAATGCAAATACAGTTGGAACTATTTGAATGCCCCATGTGTGTTAAAAGATACTTTCCCCCTGCCCCACACAATGATGAAGTCTGTCAGATACCTTTTTCTGCCCACATAAATGGTAACAGCTAACTCTTCTGCCGGAACAAAGGCTCTGACTGCAAGAAACTGGAAAACAGTAGGTGACAAGCATCTACAATTAAAAAAAATGAATAGTTCTATTTATTCGACTTAAGGCAAAAACAAGACAAGATGCACGTGTGTGTGTGTGTGTGTGTCACAATGTAGCTAACAGGCACAGGTTTTTAGCTAATGTATAGTTTATGTAGTCAAACACAATTAGCAATGCTGGCCATTTTCTGCACTTTTATATAAAGCCAGTCTCTTTCCTGGTTTAAGATGATGTGGAAAAAGCCAGAACGAACGACTGCCTTTTAAACAACATCGGATTGTGATTTCTATTTGTAGTTGCCAACGTACAGCTAGCAGGTATGCCCACAACAGGGAAATCAATGCTTACTCAAAAAAATATGCATCAAGTTGAGCTACAGTACAATTTTTAGGGAAACGTTTAGTGGGCATATCCTTTGGAAGCATTAGCTTTAAAAAAAAACAAACACACATTTTACTTGAATTCTTACATGTTTTCAGACAAGTATGTTGTACTTTGTTATCACAACTAGAAGATGCTGTTTGGTGCTGTGATTCTCTGTAAAGTAAATCCTACACTTATCACCAAGCTTCTGAGACTGCAGGAGTGTCTAGTTACTCCCCAGCAACACGGGGGCTGGCTTGGGGAGGTGGGGGGGAGACTGAAAAGTCACATTTGTCAAATTTCAGATTTTCTGGACTCCCAAATTTTGCAACATCGGTTCTCCTGTTCTTTTACATCTCCTTAATTGAAAGGGTCTGACTTCTGCTAACCAGAACATCAGCAGTACAGCTAAAATTCAACTTGAAACTGAAGCCTTTTTCCATTCAACAGACAGGTTTAAGAAATCGTATGATACCGCCAGTTCAAGTCCAGAGACTGTTTAAAAAAGCAGCACACTGGGCTAACGAGTAAATATGACAGCCATTTTGCTGCTTCATTCAACAAGAAGTTCTGGCTGAACATCTCCCATCAGACCAGCATGGTGTAATCTCTTACGTGTATGAAATTGAGTATCTTCCCTTTACAGTTTGCAACTGAACTGGCAGCGCACAAGTCAAACAAAGCACCTTGAATTCCATACACTGTCTTTCAGTTTTAAGCAAACTTTAGGCATTGAAGGTGGACAGGAGCTGTGTTTAGAGTTAAGCGTGTTTTCACAGATTCCCAGGCTTTGGGGCTACGTTCCTATTCCATGAGGAAAGGGGGTTGGGGCCCCAGTGCCAGGAAGTCTCCAAGTTTTAAAGCAAGTCATTGTTTATGATCAAATTTCAGGATTAAAATCTGAAATAGAGATGTTTCCGGCAATTTAGATTCATTAAAAAAAAAATCCAAATCCAACACAATTAAGACATATATATTTTAAGATAATTTTTAAAAATGTTGAAGGGGGAGGGAAGGGAAGAGCATATGTGAGGAACACTTGAATTAATCTGCAGTATAGATACAATTGAACCAACTATTTATTTACAATGATTCCTGAAAGTAAGCAGCCTGAATACACACCAATAGCAGCAATTACCTGGTCTATTTAACGATGCCATCTCTCATCTCTTCTGCAGACAAAGAATGATTGCTCAGAGGTCGCTGTTTAGTTTCTTGCACAAAGGAAAATAATACGTGCAAATATTTCCTTGATTTAAAGAGTTTAAATTGTATCTACATAACAGCTGTGAGAGCAGCATGAAGTTGTATTGCTCTTCATAATCAGGAGCACATTTATCTTGCTTGCAAGGAGAACAGAAAGCTTCTCTGATGTAAATGTGCCTTTAGAAAGTGAGAACTGAAAACATTAATATAAAAAAGTCAAATAACTAAGTAGTTCATTAAACTATATATAAAAATTGAGTTATCACAACTAAAGCAGCAAATCAAAATCTGCTGAGGTTTTCTGGTATAACTAATAAAAAAGTTAGTTTGTGTCCAAGTTCAGTAAGTCAAATGCTACCATTGACACAACAAAACTAAAACCCACAAGAGGAAATTGAAAAGTGCACAATGAAATTAATAGTCTTGGATCAAGTATTTACGGAGAAATGGAAATGTTTTGTCCGATGGACTTGATAAGTGAGAATTAGAAGGAGGTATTAAAGTTTATCTGATCCAGATTTGGCTTGCCGTTCCACGTAGAAGAGGATGTAGGCCTTTGCCTTTACCACAGTCTCCTCGTCGGTCAGAGTTACAGTACTGTCGTTGAAATGGAACCAACGACCTTCGTGCGTTGCATATGCGGTGTAATGTCCGGAGCCAACGCTGACGGCGAGAAGGGAAGGGAGAAAAAAGAAAAAGTTTTTTTTGGGGGGGTGGAGAGGAGAAAAACAGAAGGAGACAGATACAGCACCTCTTTCTCTGACGTGTTTTCTACTAAGCGATAATGAACTAAGAGGATTCCAGGAGCCAGAGGAAGAAAAGAACTAAGCCCCCTGTAACAGCTGGTAAAATTCTCCTCCTCTTCATCTGTGGGTTCAAAGTTCTTCAAATTAAAGTTTTACATTCAGTCAGAGCAATCACATACTGGGATGAGTGGTTTTTTTTTTTTTTTTTTTTAATATATACACATATTAGCATCCCATAGTTGTGTGTAAGCAAGGCTTCTTGCGACACAGAACTAATATTCTTGCCCACGTTAAAAAAAAAAAAAAAGCCCATTAGCTGTTATTGTTATTAGCTATAGCTAATAACATAGTGAATTTTGTAACAATAAGTTATAAGTATTTATAACAATAAGTTTTAAATATTATATATATACATAACAACAAGTTATAACAACTAGCATAGTGAATTTTTTATTTTTGTAAAAATCTTCCCCACTTAACACTAGAGAACCTCACATAGTCTAAATATAATCAAAAGCAGCCACAGCAAAACAAAGACCAGAGTAACAAAATTACTTAAATTCGTTTTAAACAGATCCAAGTTTTGCAGCCGTATTTCGTGATCTCAAATAACAGAGCTCCAAATCCAACCAATTTTCATTGCCCTGCCACTTCAAGTTAAGACCTGCTTTCACCTGCCCATGGGTTATAACACAGTTCATGAATGCTTCCAACCATCTAATTCCATTCTAACTACGACCAACTTTCCCTTACTGACTGCGACAAGTACAGCTGATTTTCTTAGGACTTTGAAGCATTAGGTGCAAAGGGTCAAGTCAAATAGTATGGCTTTCTGGACTGAACTTTCTAATATCTTTGAATTACATCAAGAAATCAAAAAGGTTTTGATTAATGATTTAGTTTCTTCAGAAAACTCCCAAAAATACAAAGACTATCAAGCCTTGGGGCAGGCCTGTTAGCTTTCCCAAGTTCCACTCCTGTAGAAGAGGAGGTAAATACAGGATAAGTGCTTTTACTGTGCCCATCTTAAGTCTACATTTGCTCCAAACAAACACGCTTTTCAGCATAAACATCATATGCCTCTCAAACCGAACAACAGAGGAAGAAAATATTTCTGGGTACTAAGAATTTCAGAGTGAAGCGTTAGCTCTGTTGGTTTTAGTGCTTTCCATTCCTTCAGAAAATAGACTATTTTAATTAGGTGTCTCAGTCGTTACCCCCAAGGAAGGGCCACCAGTGGAGATTCCCGGGACTTACTGTATAACTCTATCATAAGTTAGTTCAGCTCTGCCCCTTCCAAGTTTAAAAACTACTGCTTATTTCCACTAGTGAAACACAGACATTCACTAGGGACAGAAAAACCTCAAGTCAGTCAGCACGTACTTCACTGGGAAGAAGGTTTCTGCCCAGAAGCTGGATCACTCCACGTACTCACCCTGAACCATGATGCACCACAACAGCTGCAAGGTCGTACAGGCAGCTCTCTGGGCCACTGTTTTCAGGCTGCAGTTAAAAAGAGAGAAAACTCTTCAGATTTCAAATGACATCTACTGTAATTTGTTCTAAAGGCAGTGGAACATGTTTCTACAGGACATATTGATGAGTGTCTTCATACCTCTAACAAATAGCATTTCATGTCTAGGCCTCGTAATGGAAACTCAACATACGTATCAACCTTGTTTCTCAGATATGCTGTCCAGTGAAATCGTTTCAAGTGTAAGCATAGCACCTATAGGATTAAAAAAAAAAAAAAACAAGAAAACACAACACACACACACACAAAGGTGTGTTAGAGGAATAGGCTGAACTTATTGCTAAACATCAGCAGCAGCTGATGGACCAGTTACACACTAGTTTCTAATCAGCAGTTGGGCAGCCATTTCCTTTGGCACGTTCCCATGCCGTGACTTTTCAAGCTCATACAAACCTTTGGTAATTTCTGAATCCAGAATTTTTTGGTGGATTTCTGTTTCTTTTTGCATTTGTGGCACATATAGAGCTCTGTCTCATCAAGTTCTTCCAGGTCTGTAAAACTGCGCAGACAGTCTAAATAAATAAAGAAATAAGAATTAAAAAAGCATAGCAAAACATAGTAAATTCAGCAAAATAGAGAATGTGTGTGCTGCAGTCATTCTGGTTAATGTTATTATATGTTTGTGCAGCAAAATGGCTGCAACTATGTAATAATACATTAACATGCTGTAGCATGCAGAGCTCCTGGTTCCTTAAAACACAGTTATAAGCAGTTCAAGAAAGAAAAAGAAAGAAAGAAAAAGAAAAAAAAAGAACAAACAAGATCCCTTCTGGCATTCAGCACAACCATTAATTTTCAAAAGAAGCTTATAAAAGACTTGCTAATAAAATAAGAATCTTCAACTATTAAAGCTGTGTTCCCCCCTCCACACCCCCAGGACACGAGGTGAAAAGAGAGAAAATATTTATTAATCCAAAAAGTATTTTTCAGCAAGCGTATTTACAGATCTGTAGAAATTAACGTCCTTTAAAACAAGGTCAAAAGCCTCACCACCCAGCTGGCCTGGACTGTATTTACACCATTTTAAAACACAGACCATGCAAAAGCCATCCTTACTATATGGCAAGAGGCACATTTTTCAAAGCGTACTTTTAAGCACAGAGCCTTAACAATTGCAGCTACGCAACTTGACACATGAGTAACTGTTGATTTGGAAAGACTGGAACATACCACAAATAGTCTCATCACAAAAAAAAAAAAAAAAAAAACCACCACACACCACAACCCTGCTGGTATCTTCCTTGGGATTTAGCTGACCTGGACACCCAAGCACCTCTCAGCCCCGCTTTATTGCGGTAGTACGTTAGTACACAGTGACTGAGTGAAACCTGCATGGAAAATTACTTCTTCCACTAGAAGGCACCTTCTTCCACTAGAAAGCCTCACAAAACGAGATGGCAGACAGCAGCAAATCAGATCCTAGGTGAAAGCCTGGCTCACCTGAAAGTAACAGCTATACTCTTACCCCTGTTAGGGATTTCACTTGTCCAGGCACTCTTACCTCGTAGTGTGCACATTGGTCCGTTTTCTTGATTTTTAGTACGTTTATTTCTGAATTGACTTGGAATATCTAGTGAAAGGTCTAGAAAAACAAATATTAAAAGTGTTTAGGGCAGAATAACACTTGGCATTTAATCTTTCCATGCTAAGATCTGGTTCAGTAATGTGACATCAAAACATAACGAGGTTCAGAGTTCTTTTTCTGGCTTAATTCACCCAATACTTGGAAGACATGAAGCATCTTACCTAGGAATGGGTCAAACTTTCTAGATTCAGTCCCACATATCAAGCAGTTTACTTCATTTTGAAGAATGCCTCCAAAGATTGCTGTGACAACAGTAGAAGCTCCATTTCTAGACAGACCACATCACAGAGGAAAACGCAGTCAGAAACAAATACCTGACGTGTGTTTACTGCTAACAAGTCACTGCTATTAGGCAGAGCAGATTGGCCCATATGTAACACACAGTGACTGAGGTTCATCCATAGGGCGCTTCATTTATCCCAAAACTGCACAGAGCAAGTAATTATTTGTTACAATACTTGTGCTTTATCTTGTACCTAGCAAAAAGCGTCAACTGCAAACGCACCAAGCAGATCCACAGAACTGTAGTGGGCAAAGCATTCTGATAAGATAGCATTTCTACATTGCATAGGTGATTCTCACTGGGGTACAGTTTTTAAACCCTATAATGAAGGCTATTCCTGAACAGCGGTGTTAAATAATAATTTTTCTCTTAGGTAGGTCAAGCATTTGTTTCGAATCTTCACTATACTTGGTTACAATTAGTTTCGACTCACTGGGCCTTGGGTCTGCACTTCTCCCATTTATTCGCCTCCAAAGACTGCTCAAGTTGCATTACGATACAGTAAATAATATGTATTATCATAGTTCTCTATACTTTCGTTAGTCCCTTAAGCGTTGTAGCAGGTTATGTAATAGACTTACAGTCTAACGAAACTAAAACATTTTTAAATTACATTCTACAACTTTTAAATACCTGGCTAGTTTGTGCTTGCGTATCTGACAACACAAGCCTGCAGAAACCTTAGCCGTGCTCCACCTACGTCTTCACGTTAATTTGAACTCTTCTTGCTGAGTAGAAGGAAATGGCTATCCAAATAAACTGCTGCTCAAAAAGTGGGCATTTACGGCATTCTTACTACTTTCCTGTAACCACATAAGTATGTGACCTTACTCTGCCCTCGACAGGAGGCAGCTTATTCCACTCCATACCCAACTCACCATGCACTTACACAGCTTTTCACAGGGCAAATTTACAGTAGATATTTGAACCTAGTCTAAATTCCCCTTAAGTGGTTTCCAATACGCTTCAATTCTGAGAACATTTTACCTAAGCTGTTTGTGAGATTTTTAAGCACCAAAGGAATGTAAAAGTGGTAATGAGCATGGTCTGAACTCAAGGTTTCCACTCATCAAGTATCTATAAAATCCTGTATCATTCAGAGCACTTTAATATGTCCTTGTCAGTAGAGGAAGGGAAAATTCAGAGTCAACTCTTACACAGGGAGTCCAAGGACCTAAGTCCAAACATGCAGGCTAAACTGACTTTAACATTCCTTCCTGAAGCAAGTTAAACGTTTCCTCTCAGTGATGGCCTCATTCTGGCCGAGAGCACGCCTGGGACAGAACTCAGAAACAACAGTATTTCCAGAAGAAAAGAAACATGTGCAGAACATACTGATTACCTCTGTTTCAAGACACAATAATATGAAAATAAAAAACTATCAGAAACAAAGCAATTGCCTCAGCTATGTCTCATGTTTTATGCACATACATAGAGGTCTGCTGTAAGGGGAAAAAAAAAAAACACCTTTAAATCAAACCGCAGCTGCACTGCTTACACTTTGAGCCAGACGGTCTACTGACTATTTAAACCTACAAGTACTTGCAGTCTCTTTGCTTCTTTTTCATTCACGGCATCTATCACCCTGAGAAATCTAGCTTGTCTGAACAGAAAAAAAGAGAATTCTATATAGGTACAGAAGAGAAAAATAACAGGAGTTCGTTTTATTTCTGAAAGAAAGACTAATGTATCAAAGTGTATTTACAATATATTCTATATGCTCAAATCTATGAAAAACACCGATCTAAGACACACGCTTACTTTAGAAAGGAAGCGCAGTCCACAGGATGATAATCCTTTACCCTGCAGCTTTATAGTGTTAAGGACGCTCTAAAGAAAATTTAAGTAATGACCCAGGGTCTTAAAATTTCAGATCCACACCCCGCAAACCCATACAGGGGCAGTAAGATGTTGAAGAAATTCAAAACATTTCTTACATGCAACATTTGTTGCTTGCAGACAGGCCAGAATTTTCTTGTAAGATCACTGAACGTGAAACGCCATTGAAGCCACCCTGCAGTTCCAGGTGTAGATGGTCCAAAAGGTAACGCATGAACTCGTGGGCATCCTGTTGCTGGTATCCCCTTAAGAAAAAAAGGAAACAACAACCACCACCAACAATTACCAAATGAACAGGTTAGGTTGCACCTTTATTCCTGATACACAGGGTGCTTCCCATGGTCACAAGAAAGAACATTTCTATAATAACACTGAACCAGATTTAGGAACATGTTTAGTTTGTACTAGAAATGTTTTCCAATTAGCCTTTGAAAGATAAAGTGATGTCAGGACAAGTGAAGTTATTTCTGTCCTTTGCCGATCTATCTCTATGCACTCCTCTTTTTGAGGGTAAGAGTGTTTTTTTTTTTTTTTTTTAAAAAAGGTTACAGAGTTTAAAGCAAAAATTTAAAACTTCAGAAAACAGCAGAGAGTACCAGACACGTAACGCCTTTTGCTCACGTATTCTGTTAATGTAGTTGCCACGTTAAATCGGCCTCAGGAAAATCTGTCCATGCTAATAACATCCTAGTTCTAATATACATGAATAAATAAAAATGCCAATGGTAGCAGCGATCTCTCCTCACTCACACAAAAACGTTTCTCCTGTTTCTACTTTTTCTCTGTTGGTTATTGACTCCATGTGATAGCATCTACACAGAACTGTGTTGCGATTCTGGTTCGGACAGTACACTATTATCCCTACTTTGAAACTACTATAAATCATGTTCAAGCTACTAAAGTCACAAAACTGGTAAGATTCAAAGACACCACAAAACACGCTGTTCACATCGGCTTCAGCGTCAACAGCTCTGAGCAGCTCTCATTCAGCTGCTGAGCCCGCTCGCTCTGGCAGTACCAACCGCCTGCTTGCCGTCTGCTCCTCTCCCCTACCCAGCAAAGGCGTTGATTCTGAGCGTTTGTGTCCCTTTCAGCAACAAAAAGAACCTCTGAAATAATTCAGATGGGAGAGAGGTTTCTTCCCTCTTTAGGGCAAATTCTAGAGCCATGCCTAGAGTCGCACACCTCCCTTGTGTAACCCATCTGCTGGGGGCGAGGGGCAGGGGGGACCTCATACATCATTTGAGTATTTGGATTTGGTAGAAGAGGGTCCCAGGCTCAGCTGTGTCATGCTGTCAGCAGCAGCGCTGCCCAAAGAGCCATCATTATCTCACCACTAACAAAGCCACTGGGAAGGAAACAGAAAGGCCATTAGGGTAAACAGGCCTGTAAAATTCTTCAAGCTAAAGCATGCATTAACATTTCAGAAACAACTACTATTCATTTGCCCTAAGATCCTCATATGACTGTACGAGATGAAATAGGAAAACATGCATATTGAAACATTAAAAGCCTTGTGCAACAGTGACATAATTCTGCACAAGTCTTTGCAGGCCTAGTTACAGAAATCCCCAAACAGCAGAGAGCTGGCTTCTCCTTATGCTTCCCGCCCGCCCGCTCCCCCCGCCTTCCCTCCCCACCATTCCACATAAGCTGGGCAACAGTTGTGACGTAGACACGTCTGGGAACAAACAACGGGGAGGTGGTTCACACTGTTGTGCAGGGGATGGAAAAACGTCTGTGCGACTCTTGGCACAATACCCAGGAGTTTTAGAGAAACGAGAACAGGCTCAGTGCAACAGAAGTACTCAGTGTACTACAAAAGTACTCGTAGGAGATAATGTGAACACAAAAGAAGGAGCTGCTTAAATAAAATAAAAAAAAGAAAGGGGGTGGGGGGGTGGGAGGGGGAGAAAAGGGCCCTTCCCATCTCACAGAATTACAGTAAGGTTTTCTTCCTAACTAGCAACTTACTGAGTTTGAGTATTGGGGCAGAAAAAAAGCCAGAAAAAGGCATCATCTGCAAGCAAACATGAAAATGAGAGCAGGTACAACTTGGATTACTCACGTACCAGTGTAACCAACGGAAGCTAATCTGTCGCCTTAGTTCTTCCTCCAGCCTTTGTTACACTAAGGGATCAATGAGGTACTTCATCTAAAATCCTAATGAGCTCTGTTCATTCATTCGTTGCAGCACAACGGTAATACCAAACAGCTATGCGTACAAGATGTTTACCTTAAAGGCCAAGGAATCAAAATATTTCTGTTCTGATTCTCCCTATGTATTTCACTACAGTGAAATTTTTTTACAGTGAGATTTATTTTAATCGCCATCAAGTAGATATGCCAACAGTATGAAGTTAATGCATGATCCAGATAGCTTAATTGGTGACCATCTTCAAAATACAACTAAAAAGACGTTGCAGAGTAGAGGCATTACCGCTGTTACACGTTTCCCTCCACTGGGCAACCTATTGCTTTTAGGTAGTACTTTCTCATGGGTGGATCATAAAGCACTCTGAAAAACACATCAACATCCCTATCCCCTTTTACAAGGGGAAAAAAGTGACACGCAGAAAAACCTATGTGCTTCAACAGGCCAAGGTCCTGTACAGCTGAAAACAGGACTCGAGTCTCCCAAAGTTGCAATGTAATTACACGTTACTATGAAACAAAGTAGTAAAGCAGAATCCAGCTTCAAAGTCACACCTTAACCGTAAACACAACAGGGTTAATAAGTTAGAAGCTGGAGAGTTAACGTAGCATTTGCTTAGTTTAGTTAATAGAGATAGGTTCGTTTTACCTAACACATACTGAATCATAATGAACAGCCAACGAAAAAGTTCACAGAAACGCTTTGTTTCAGACACCAGGAAGAGGAATGTTTATTCTTTTTAACGTTAACTTCCTCAGAAAAGAGCTCTGAAGTAATATGGCAACAAATGTGATAAAATACCCTTTGGAACCATTCCACGTTGTTGGTTGTGTTCCTCATGCATGTGTTTGTGCGTGCATACAAATATGTTAATCATAGCTGAGACATTCTTTTGATTTGTTAAAAAGCATAAATATAGATGTACATTTTTAATAAAAAGAACACAATGATATCGACCACGTACTCTTCAAAATAAATTATGATCGAAAGGCCCTTCAGATAAGAAGCACAGTTTCTCTGACAGGCAGCTTTTGTAATAAAGCTGATCTCCATGTACCCGAACCAATTCGATTTAAGCCCATCTTTGACATCCCCTTTCCTACTAGCAGCAAGAGGGGATACAAACAGGAGCAGTTACTAGGAAAATAGAATATACTGTTCATATGACGGTAAAGCAGCAAAGTACGCGTATTGCGACTCAGCAGGAGGCTACAGAACTCTCAGCAGGCAGCAGAAGTCACAGCAGCAGCCTCAGTGCAACAGTCGAAGATCAGGACTTCCATAGTGGCATTAGAGCTTAGAGCCTTTCCAGTTGCACTTACAACACTCAAGTTTTAAAAGCTATAAGCTATACTCTCTACTTCCTACATGCATTAGGAAGTAGACAGATGGCCATAAAGCGCATCACGAGCATTTTTTTCCCCATAACCTCCTATATACAAGATAACCTTCTGTAAGAAAAACAGCGCTTACGCTCCTCAAGGCAGGCACATGCCTTTAACAACTGAAGTCTCCTTGGGCTAAAGCAATTCAACCAAGTTTCCAGCAAGTTGTCCCCACCGAATCACTTTGGTCTACATTAACCAAATTAGCTGGTTTGCTGTTCACACGCTATTGGCTCCAACCTTGTTCCAGCCACCCCCTCCTCCTAATCTCACAAATAGCATACAAGGTAGAACCGGAACAGTAGCATTATTAACTTTTACAGTATAATACAATTAAACACTCAAAGAACTGTCTCCCTAGACCGTGTAGAAATGGGAGAGTGGGGACGTATTTATTGAGCAGCTGACTCTTCTATGTAACTTATTACATAATGTTACTTCATAAAACACAGACGAGCTCATATGTCTTGCAGTGAAAAAAAAAAAAGAGTTCTCTTACCAATGAATCACGGACATGTTCCCAGCTAACTGGGAATAAACAAATAAAAAGACACAGCACTTTTTCCTTTTAAAAGCTGCGATAGAATCCACAGTGCTGAAAATTTGCTAGAGGAACTTAATGAACTGGTTTCTTGCTTAGTCTAAGAGGAATTACAGTGAGGACTATAACGGGGACACTGGTCAAGGACATTAAGTATGATGTTCATTTGCCTATCAAGTTTTGGCCTCTGCTTGAAACTACTGGTATTAAACTTCCTTGATTCTCATAAGCCAGGTGAAACACATTAGGCAGCATGAGGAATAGAATAAATAACTTTTTGTTATTGGGGTTGTTCCTCTAGCAGATGTGTTCACAGCATCTTTTCAGCACTGCTGGAGATGTAACAGATAACATCTTTACTACCTGAGAACACGGAGCAACTTACCTTCATCACAATATATCCTAACAGGTTTCAGTGCTCCTCTGAAAGAGGTTCAGGGGCCAGGACAGGGAGACCTTGGAGAGGAACGATACTTTGATTTACTCGGGTAACCTTTTTTCCTTTCCTTTTCATTGTCTTTTTTGTCAGGATGGGCGCAAAATGTCTATTACACACAATAAATTTTTTTTACAGCCCTTATTTCATGTCACACTGGTGATGACCACAGTATTTTGAGAGAATCAAGGAAGTTTTACCAAGCACATTCACGTTTAGGCCTGTGGTACCTGTATGTTTTTAATGGGACTACTTCATTTTCTTATCGTAGCCAGGCTCGGGTTCTGTCAACGCCACACGCTTGGCACCTACCTACAAGGCTTTGTTCTGATTCTTCTACCCCCTGAAGCACTGGCTCAGGCAAAGGTACAACTACTACTCTCTTAATATTTGAGACGTTTGTTCTCTCTGACACTGCTACATGCAGCACGTGGTAGGAGGGAAGGAAAAAGGCACTACTGATGAACAGAAAATTGTAGATCAAATTACAAAGTCCTTTTCAAAGCATATTTGTGGGCATATGGGGAAGTTGCACAGAACACAACCCCCGGATCCTGCAGGTTTTGGATTAGGACACAAGCTGTGTGAGTTTACATTCAAGGGTATTGTTCTAATTCTACAAAACTTACCTAAAATTTGGCATGATTTTCCAAACAACATAAAATAAAGACTCTGGGCTAAATGCAGTTTGGCTTCCTTGCCATAAAGCACACAGTGTCTTTCTGAATTCTTCCACCAATGAACTAGAAAGAAAGTAAAAGTTGGTGATGAATATGGGTTTGTGCTATAACCTTTACAGCTTTACTAACTCAACGGTACAAACATCATAGCCATTTCTTTGGTTAGAAATTGTAATGATTAGGTAAATAACTTTACCAGTATTTTGAAGATTTTCACGTCTAAAATCCAATCCACAAACTTGGAAAGAGACAAGTTAGGAAAATTACATATCAGAGGTTGAGGACTCACCTGGAAATCTTTCCCCCTTTCACCATTATACTGTCAACTCTGCTAAAGTTGTCCCTTTAACACTTGCTCAAACAAGTTACAGACACTGAATCACTTGCTGTGATTTTTTTATGTTCTTTTGCAAACACATTCGGAATATATATCACTAGCACTTAACCTTACGTTAAACTCACTTACACTCCAGTGCTTTCTCATGTACGCGACTGCTTCCCCCTGCAGCACCAGATCTGTATGAGCACACTGGCAGCGATGCGAGTTTCTTTTGTACAGCAAATCACTTTTCTACAATTGTTTTCTAAGAAATCATTTTTCTACGATTCTGTAACACTGAAAGCGTTTACTGGCTCTACTACTCAAATATTTGCTGTTTTCCTTCAAGTTCGGTGCTAACAAGGAACGTGCAACTTACACATTGTTATCCCCCTGACTCCTGGTATGGTAAGTTCGCCTGCCGGCTGTCTTCCCATTCCGCAGCTCCACAGCGGGCAACTCTTTGAAGTAACAGCAAAACTGCTGAATGTTACTACAGAAAAAGGAAAAAGGAATGAAAACCTTAAAGGGCAGAGAGCGAAGAAGAGATTATGTATTCTGGAGTCTGCTCTTTGAAATGCATAAACACAACTTCACATAGCGAGAGCGCATGGCAATCACAAACAGCTCTTTCAAGTATTTTCATGCAAGATGCATAAAATACTGCAGTATCTACTCATCGTCTGTAAACGAGTGAGCAAATCTGTAAGAATAGTCATCATCCCAACTACCTGAAATAATTACATCTTTGTTCTGCCTTGACTAAGCGATACCATGACAGACTGCAGCATTCCCTAACAAACCAAACTGCAGCTGCTTAGGAGGTCAAGGTCAGCCTCCACCTATCAACTATAACCGCTGTTACAACAGTCCCCATAATGGAGCATATTCACGTGCTTTGGCTCCTGCAAGCAAACCCTTCAGTAGCGGAAAAGAGAATGAAGGGGAGACCAGTTAGTCCTGCTACAGCCTGACTCAAGAGCTGCCCAATATGAAGCAGGTGAACACAGAAATGCAAAAAGACAATTATGGAGCCGTGGTGGTCTTGGCAGCAATGACATTAGGTCTAATAACTCATCACCTCAGAGCACTGTTCTCTGCCTGCCTCCACAGTTACCATAAGCATCAACATACTTCATCGTGTCAGCCCAAAAAAGAAAAAAAAAAAAAAAAAAAAAGGCAGTCTCCTTTTCCGCTAAGGAGATGGCAGGCTTCCCCCAGACGGCTGCATCGCACCAAGGAACTCACAACGGGAGAGAGAGCTTCAAGCTTCATGGTACCTGCGGCACTGCCCCTTCCCGCTAATCCAGGGACACTTACTGACAGTGATGACCTGCCAAATTCTCTTGCCTAATGCTACAGCACAAAACTACTCTCAAAGAAATACAGGGAAAGTCTTAGCAGCTTCACAATATAACAAGCAGCAGGTACCTGAGCGACTGAAGGATTGCGTTCATGAAACACGTATTCCCCAGGTTCCGGAGGCCCGTGGCACAAAGGGCAGTGGTGCTTCCCTGAGAATTAGGATGGTTAAGTTAAAAAAGACGCATTATTGCTCCCCCCCTTTTTCCCCACAGAGCTGTGTTACCTTTGTATCAGCACAGATTTAAAAACAAAAACAAAACAAAAAAAACCCCAAAACTGCAGTGTTTGGAACGTACAGAAACCAAAGCAACAGCATCACCAGCTTGACCTTGCTTTGGTGACTGAAGCTCTACCTTGACATGACACCTGTTTCTTCCCGATTACTGTCAACAGAAAACTATACTACTCCTATACTGCATCTTTTCCTGTGCAAATAAATCTAAAAGAGGAGGACATCATGCGCATCATGGAGTTAATCACAGACACTTTTACTGCAAAGTATTTGTGTGTATATGTTACGTATTCACACTCCAGCAATGTTCAATGAGAACTGGGTGATAATCTCCCTAAAGTGCCTTTGAAAATACAATTCCTTATCTGTCTACATCATGTAAAATACGTATAGCACGTCAGCCCGAGAACTGTAAATCACCAGCACTGGTCTGTTGTCTTGGTGGGGTTTTGCGGTGGAGAGCAGCATTTAAAGGAAACACAACAGCACTTATCTGGGAAAGAAATACTCTAAAAATTAGACTATGCAAAGAGAAAGCAATGTGTTTGAAGAAAAGCGAAACGCATGCCGTTTATGGCCTACTGACTTCAATAGGCAAGACCAATGTTACATGCAGATCAGTTAGCTTTTTTCCCAAGTGATCTGGGGGTAGGCAGATGCGGAGAGAGAAGGAAGAGAAACGTTGGCAGTGTTGCATTTATTATTTCTAGAATCCACAACATTTGTAGGCGTTTTGTTGTCTACAAAATATCACATTACAAGTTCATCACGTTTCTGGATATTCTTCATTGCTCTGGCAGAATTTAAAAGCAAAACTATCTTACAGTAGTAGTATTTCAAAGCAGACATAAGACTTTACACCAGGCTGCATGCTTTCAGTGCAGTATACTGAATATGTATTCTAAATGTTCTAGTAAGAGATTTTTTTCTCCCCAATTCTATGACAAAGAACACACAAACAACCTACATCCCTAGTTAAGAACAAAAGACATGAAGATATTTGTGAATACGTTGTCCAACCCCCTATTATTATTTAAATATGCAATTTAGCAATTCAGTAACTTTTGTCTGAAGAGACCTATTCTCCAAAAAAAATAGAAGAGAAAAAAAGTACGAACGCCACAGTGTCCTTAGCATGTTCTCTTCTCACCCTTACTCACGGTGAGACAGCACAGCATTAACGCAAGCAGCTGTGTTCTGTCTTTTCTAGATAATGATTCAATGTGCCAACAATAAAAAGACCATCTGTTGCCACAGGCAATTATCAAGTATTAATAAAACTGAGAAAATAGATAGCACAGATTAAGAAAGGTAGCATTAGGTTTGTGCTTTCTATTTCTGTCTTCTCAATATCTAAATGTTGCTTGGAATTTTCCTTCTGATTTTTAGTAGCTTTGAGTTTTCCAGACAATGACGCTGCGTGTTGCGATTGCAAAAAACCCCACTCCGTGGCTTCCTTAATCCGCCCAGGATCGGGGCACCATAAGAAACATACACAGTGCACTCAGAAGATCCTTAAGACTGTAAGTAGCCCATTCTGAAAGTAACTAAAACCACAGAATTTGCAAAGCAGCAATTCACTGCTGGCTGTTTGGAACTCCAGGTGCACACAAAGAGCCAGGGCAACGGTGGGAATTCAGGGCTTTGCTCCCATCGCCACCCTCTTACTTCCATTCATACTCCTCTGGAGGACCTCTCCCCTTCCTAGTCAGGTAACTGCTTCATCTAGTTGAAGACAGCAGTTATTTCAGCTCCCTTTGACTCCTACTACGCTAGTGTCCTGCAGGCCCAAAGACCAAGGAGGAAGGGTTCTGTGCTCCTACCATTCCTTCTGGCTCAGGGTAAGTATGAGGCAGTCACATAGAACTGAGTCGGTGTCTCCCTACATCTGGGAGAAATCATGAAGACTAGAAACTCCCTCAAACCAACCCACAGACAACACAGACATTTGGTTTGGGGCTTCCTGTGGCTAGAAGAAGCTATGCAGCCCTTTAGCTATCTAGCAAGGGCTGGACTGTGCTCTCCTGGGTACTATTTTGCAGATGTGAAGTGAAAATAGCAGGAAGATGAGGGATGAGACTGAAAATAGTTTAAATTTCACAGTTGCTTTTGAAAGTGATTTTTACTAAGCTCTTTTAAAAATGTTTTCAAGCTTTTTGCTTCTTCCTAACAATTACTCTCTTACCTCTCAGAAAAAGATAGTGAACCTGCTTCTCTGGCTTCTGAATTGTTTTAAAAAAAAAAAAAAAAAAAAAAAAAAAAAAAAGAGAGAGAGAGACAGAGAGCGAGCGAGACTGACTTGTCTGCTCAAAAAAAAAAAAAAAAAATTTAGTTCTAAGTCCATTGAGTACTAGCTGCTTCCTATTTTGCAGATCCCACCAAGCACGGGAAAGCTCAAAGTCTAGGTTAACACAAGTCACAAGTACAGCAGAATATCAAAAATTATTTTGTGAGAAAGGGCTCTTGTAGGTGTGCAATCAAGAGATAAGAAAGAAAGTAAACCAAACAGAATTCGGGTAAGAGAGAAATTATTTTATATCTAGTCCCACTATAAGCCTCAACAGGATTAACAAAATCCCTGAAATTCACTGTACTGGAGCCGTGGTACTTACATTTACTTTTAATAACTTGCTGTTCAGAGATGAGTTTTCCAATAGTTTTCTTTTCCTATGTCTGTCCGATGTAAAGGCTGAACTGTTAGAAAGTAATGAAAATAGGTTACCTACTGAAAAAAATTGTACGAAAGGGATTACAGATAATGATTATCACGTCTAACATAGTAATTACATCTGCCATCAATTATTCAGACAGCAAAGAGCTTCCCAATTGCACCATGTGCTTTTTATAGCCTTGAAATGGACTGCTACATCTCTCTCCGAGACACTACTGTCCGAGTGAACTGCATTAAGCTATGCACGCTGCAGTACATGCCCTGAAGCATGGCCTTGTTAGCATGCTACTTCTGATCTGAGATATTGATCTTTGATCTTTTCCCTTAATCAAGGGAATACTTTATATAGAATTTTCCAAAAAATACTTCTGTCAGAAGTATCACGCTAAATCTTTAGAAAGACAACTTCACAAACCAGGACAAAGTAGTTACCAAAGACCAAAAAGCATCTTGAGTAGCATCTTGAGCTACTTACGTAGCTGACTTCTCTTACTTTAAATAGAAATACATCAGGTTATAACATTTGTATAAGACTAATTCAAAGTTACAAGAGTAATAAGTTTTTCTTTTTTGCATTGCTAGAAGTTACGGACCCCTCAATCCTGCCAAAAGAATTAGCTCCAAAAGAGCTAAATCTCCTGTACGTTTCCAAGTTATTTACATGCACTTCTTATTATCCTTACACAGTCTAACATCTCATTACGTACCTGACAAGCCCAACAAAAAGAGAATGGAAAATAACGAAAACGTTAATACACTGTAGCCACGTTCAAAAAAGAAAGCCACTAAAAGAAGCTGAGAGGCCATAAACCTGGGGCAACGCCAGACAACAAGATTCAGAAGTTAAACGTCATACTTATTCTTTATTCTGTAAGGATTCAGAGACTTTTCAGCACCACAGCAATTTCTCAGGAGTAGTGCTATTTGAATTCTGGGGCATTAAAATGTATTTGGAAGCGCTGTGAGCACACACACTTCTCCTTAGTATTATATAAGATTTCCAAGTAAATTATGAAAAGACTACTTGCTATCTAGAACCAGCCACAGCATCTGCATCACAAAGATTATAATATTTACTTTTCAGTGGAAGCGTGCCAGATAAAGCCACAGGAAAAACATGTCTCTTCTGTACAATTCTAAGTTCATAAGCCTTCTTAATCTGTGTTTGGAAACCAAACTATGCAATTAACGTGAAGACTACTGCCACCTCCATTTCAGGTTTAATTTTTCTGCTCCAGAAACCTGTTCTGACTTTGACAAAACTATGCTGCTTTTCTGGAAGCTGTGCCCCATTTCTATGAAAAAAGACGGTAATTATCGGCAAAGGAGCAATAAAGTTAACAGGTATCTAAATTTCTGTTTCCATATGCAGCTTCTACAAGATTCAGTGTTAGGAAACAAAACATACAAGGTCAGCCAAAGCCCTTAGCTCTGGACTTCTCGGTGATGAAAGAGATATTTAAACTTACATAGTATCACACATGCACAAGAACCAAAAAAAAAAAAAAAAAAGGCAGCCCAAAAAACAAGCAAACAAACCTCCCAAACCCTCAACATTAAAACAGAATTACCATTTAAATGATGCAATATTATAAATCCACCCACTGCAGTCTGGATATAAACAGACTACTTACTTTTCCAAGTTCTGTAGGTGCTCTCTGACTTAGACACATTAGAATGTGCAAAGGATTTCAGTGAAATACTTTAAAACCTGGTTACTGACAGTCATGCAATTCTGTCTGCAGGAATCATTAAAGTGATATAGTGCAAAATCACAAGGAAAACAGGGGAGCATGACACCTAGTTACTAGACCTAGCCTGGTCTTCTCTGAAGGCTACCCAATAGAAGGTACAGTCAGTGTCTAATTCTGTGCTTTCTCTTCCAGCTCACTTTTCTATTAGGCACTTTTGTTAAAGTAAATTCAAGCCTATCATCTTCCCCCTTAGAAAGAGAAACCAAAAGCATTATCTACCACTCATACCAATGCAGAATTCCTGTTCAATAAAAACTCAAAGATACTGCGTAACCAAAAGCAGCATTAGTGGACAAAAAAAGGGAGCATCAAGAGACATGGTGACTTGTCACAACTTCCCTTTCCCCCACGTCCCACAGAGGGGACTCGGGGTTCTTGAGTAGCATTAATTAGCCCTGTGCATACTGCAAAGCATCAAGTTACAGCTTTAAAGCTCTGGCAAACAACTGAACTCCTCCTGTGGAGGAGATTAACCTACCTTGGATATGTTTAAGTTCAAAACTTTAGCCATTGCTTTCCTTTTCCTTTGCCATAGGACTCACTCAAATACGAAATGCATCTTCATCAGCTCAGGTTACTCCTCTGAGCAGATCCGTGCTTTGTAAGTTAATGAAACTATCTACTTTAGGCACAACTGGAATTTTTAATGTTCTTAGCTACATAAATTTGTTACGTAGCTCAAAGACAACAACATTGCTAGTATTAATTCAAACAATGAATTGTAGCAGCTTGTTCAAGAGATTACAGAGTTGAGAAAGCGAAGGCCTTTGCCACCAAAAGGAGTCTGGAAGATCAATCTGTTCAGGATTTCTGTTGACTTTTGCCTCTGGGAAGAGGATCTTAATGCAGCTCTCGAGATTTCCAAACACTGAACGCAGCAGTCATAATTTCTACATCATACATAGGTGTCTATAAAATAGCTATTGCCAGTACAATAAAGTTTTTTTCCTTTTATTTTTATGTAAAGATGCCACAGACCCAGTTCGTTTGGGAGCGGAAGGAAGTTTGTGAACTCACTTATTTTTCACCTATGTTTTAAGCAGACTTATTCTGCTTTTTCAGCCGCTCGTAGTGACCTAATGAAGCACTCCTGCATTTGCTGCTCTCACAGGACAAGACACCTCTCGAGGACAACCACGCCAGCACGCTGCCAGGGCCAGCTCTGAGCAGAGGCCGATGCGGTGCAGGTGGATGCAGTACAGTCTGACCCCTCCTGAATATCACAAGCGTCCACGCTCCTGAGTACGTTCACACAACTGCACTGCTACCCTAGCTGTGCAGTGAGAAAGGTTCATAGACAGGTAATGAAAGCAGATGCAAGTGCAGTGAAAGTCTCTAAGCCAACTTACTGCCAAAAGTAGGAAAAGTGTACTGAGGAAAGATGAACTAATACATGTTCCCTTTCCCTAAATATAGCATTAGCCATATCTTTAACTTCATGTAACAGTTGCATCTTTACATGAAACTGCGAGTTAGCACGTTCCCCAAGATGGAAGAATAAAACCAAATACGTCATTAAATGTTTCTTCACGTCAAGGTCTTCGCAATGCTGCAAAACTGATCTTAAGATTCACTTAAAAACAAGAAAAGCCATTGCTATTTTTTCTAATGGGCATTTTTTTAAATCACATCCTTTGCAACACTGAGGATTCCGCATCCTTATTTGTGATTACTTCACTGAAAAGTAGAGAATAAAAAGGATTAGAAACAAAACTGAGTCAAACTGTTTTAGATAAAGCCAAAAGCAAAGGAAGGAGTTCAGATCTTAAGAGTTTAAAACTTGTTACGCCACAACACCTTAAAGGTAAGCTGCTGAGAGATTACGTCCTATATATGTAGCGAAGACTTGAAACAGAAGTTTAATTTGTGATCATTAAGATTATCACAAATTAACCACTGTGCACCTTTTGGTATATAGTAGCTCTACAATATGGTTTTAACAGCAATTGGACTGAACAAATTTTATACTTCAGGCAGGGTCCCTTATATGGATTAGCACAGTATTTTCTTCTCTATATACTTTCTATTTTTAGTACCTCTGCTAACTCCAAGGCCTCCTCTGCTGCTAAGATGGCAGTAAGCCAGCAAATGTATGTACTGCTCTGGGAAACATTTAGGCTTATTGCTGGCAGTTTCAGTACGTTACAGAACTTTATGGTATGTTTAGAAGTCCTGATTTAAAGAATCATAGGACAAGAACAATTAAGAAATTCCAAATCTCCTTAGCTGTGCTAACACCTTATATGACCAAACTAAGAATTCAAGTTTTATTTTCTTGATAAACCCTACTCACCTTCTTTAACTGCAGAATGCAAACTTACAGTCTAAGCAGCCTCATTTTCTGACGCTTACATGCTAGCACAACAAACCCGAGTTTGAAAAGAACCAACACAAAAGGAACGAGTAAAAAAACGCTTCAAGCCCTTGCCACTTGGTTAGCTATTTTTACATCATCCTTCAATAAAAACATTAGGGAACGTTAACACAACCTTGTCTGTTTAAGAGAGAACAAGCGGGCCAAGAGGTCAGAAATCTGACTACAAATTGCATCTGGGATTAAATGAACAGGGGAAAGACATTATGCAAACACATAAACAAGGCAGCCTTTCTCCTCCTGTGCTAACCAACTGCCTGTGCAGTAAAAGTGAGAAAACAGATTTACAAGAGTCCTCTTTCAGGAGAAAGATTGTATTTCCAAAAGCAAGCTTCTTCACAAGTATCATTTTACTTCTTGCACAGAGGAAAGCTATCACTGGCACAGCAAGAGAAAGCATCATTCAATACACTGAAGAGAAAAAAAAAGATCTGTAAGCGCACTGCGGTTAGTACTTCAGAACTAACTGAAAGGCTGAGCGCCTGCCAAACAGTGCAATTCAGGAATCTATTTTTCTCAGCGTATAGTATCTCAAATGTGATTCAGTGTAAAGATTCAGTATTTTATCTACTGCCTCAAAGAGACTGACGAATCAAGAAGAGAGTCCTATTCTCATAATAAATAAAAGATTAACCATCATTCAACTTTTCCAGTGATCTTTCTGGTACAGTGGGGAAAAAGAGGAGAATAGGCGGACAGATAAGAAAAGATCGAAATCCTCTGGAAAGCAAGTCCCTAATTCCCCAAAACTTAACGATCCCTCAAGCATGTCCACATTTTTCAAAACACTACAAAAATTCATAAATACAATAAAAAAAAAAAAACTTCTCGGGTGTTAAAAAAGTAAACAACAATAAAAACACACTCTTCTACCAGAACTTAAAAATAGCTTTGAGTGGAGAACTTTTCAAGTCGGATTAGAGAGAAAACAAACACACACACCCCCCTAGACTTCCACACTGAAATGCAATTACAGCAAACTTTTTTTTTTACAGTAAGATGGCATGCGAACTAGAAACCAAATTCAGTAAGCTAGAGTAGTCAGAAGAGTTGCTTAGTATTTCTTCCCCTTGGACTGACAAAAATAGCTAAAATAAACCCTGAACTGTGCTCTCATGACTGCACAAACGTTTATGGCACAGCCAAAGAAAAGGAAGTGATTAAATGCCTCCTGATTAGAACAGCGCCCATATAGACCTGCTCGCTGCTACTTTCACGCAGGCTTCAAGAACATGGTGGACTGGAATCCGTAGGACAAAACTGGAACTAGAGTTTTCCACTCAACTCTATGTAGTAAACAAAACCTTGCAACTTCAAAACACAAAAGCCAGCACTGCAGTAAAGTATCTCCATTGTTTTTATAGTAGAAGTAAAATTTAATCAAGTCTTAGGATCGTATTTTCCTGACTTTCAGATTATCCAGGTTGCCCACACTGCTTGTGTTAACAATTAATCCTAAACACATGTTCACTTGAAAGTAACAATGTTGCATAAACGGAATACCACTAGCACTGTCTACTAGATTTATGTCTACATGGAAAATGCTAATGAACAAAATTTTAAAATGCAATCTCCACAGTGGCTAGCTATGACTGAAATTCATCCGAATACTTACTTCAACTGGTAAGCACTATTTGATAGCAGCCCCTATAATATTGATTATACAAAGAGGCAGAAGTCAGTCTGAATGACTGCTTTAACTTTATATAAATAAGGCTATTTCTACTGAGAAATTGCGTGCAAACATCAAACCCCAGTATCTTTTCCTGAGTATCAGATGGAAAAAAACTGAAATATCCTAATGAGAGCAAAGACAGTTTGCTTTTGAAACTTCTTCAGCTTCACAATAACACAGGAGGCTTATGCTAGTGAATTATATGCAACAGGAACTCCCTAAGGCAAAGCCCTCTACAACTGGTTCCAGTTCATCCGTAAGATGACTCAACCTCTACTCCGTTTACAGCAGAAAGGACATCACACACTAAACTGCTTCTCATCTGTCCTATCACAAATGTGCTGTGAAACACCAGTGAGCTTCCAAAGTGCTTGCTTACCTACTGCCCACAGACATACTGTTTCAGTAACAGATACTACAGTCCTCAGGTCGCATATCCTCATTTTGCAACACCAGTACTGGGTTTGGGATAAGGTCAGCTGGGTGCTCTTACTTGCTAAGATAACTCATCAGGCCTCAGCAAGTTCTGGCAGACTAGCCACACTATCTGTTACAGTAAATAACGATATAATCGAGATTTCAAATACTGCTGCTAAAATTCCTGCATACGTTATTACTGTCAAAGTAACTAAAAGACAGATCATATCTATAAAAGAAAAAAAAAGAAAAAAAACCTACAACATCAGAACTCAGCTGTTAACATCGACTGATAAAACTGGAATTAGCTTCCCACAGCAACTTCAATGCTGGCAACGTTTGCATATGCATTACTTAGAACAGTTTCATGTTTTCTAATAATGTTTTCAACACCAGGCCAGGCAAAAGCTTTGGTTATTTAAATAAAGCATAAATAGAAGCAAAAGTTATGTACATCATAAAGCTACTCAAACATCACTTTTTTCTATGCTTAACACCTGCACAGCATCTGTCATTGTTGCACATACTATCTGAATAATTTCTGAGTTACTCCAAACAAAAATTTCTTTAGGTGAGACCACTTCTGTAGGTGAGGCACTTCACTTGCAGGGGATAAAAACATTTGTTATACAAGTATTTCGCATAAAACAGGATACCCAAACTTCAGCAAATAGGTATTTCCTTGATGAAGTACCCAAAGATACCCAACTATCTGCATGAAATAAAATCCATCAGTGGAGTGGTACATTCAGTGATATTAGAAAGCCACCACACTGCTTTGTTGAGGGAGAAGAGGACAGAAGATGGCGAACGCACGAAAGCACTGCTTCCAGAAGACTTCCAGTCTTTCCTCTCTGAAGCAAGAAGATTAGGAATCTGCTATTACCAGCATAACTGTTAAACCTCCTGAAACAGTGCCCATTTCTCACTCAAAGGAGTTGCCAGCATAAATCGGCCTAAGCCATTTTCTTTCTCTTCTGCATCACTTCCTTTAAAAATTCTGCTCTTTGATCTTGTCTGACAAATTGATGCTGCTTCTGAATAGGATCTGCCACTCTCTCCCAAAGTCATACAGACTGTACAAAATCAGAAACAGAAAGAAGCCTTTCCTTTCAGCGGGAAGAAAACGATCAGTATTGGGAAAAAAACAACAAACAAACAAACAAACAAGAAAATCCAAAATACCTCAAGATCACATCTCTTGGGCAGGAACTTGAGCGTATTACTTTACTTTCTGATCTTCTGACAAATGAAGAACCTGAGAAAGGCTTACCAATCTGATGAAAGGAGTAACGAGAACCAAACAGTAGCTTTTACAATGAAAAGTTCGGTTCTCAACGTACCTCAAACCAAACAGAAATAACTCCAAATTATATAAATACTATTTGTATCAAAAAGTTTGTGCCAAGTCATTGGAAATGCAGGAGTTGAGTCTCAATCAATGCTACAATACACACGCAAAAGCAGAAGGATATTTCAGAAACTGTTCTCAAACAGCCAAGTCTGGAAATCACGAGGTGAAGGGCTCAAAAATGTGTGTAACATAATGCTTCACAAGAGTCTAAAGTTTGCACCTTTGAATACACAAGAAGTTGTCAAATTCCAGTGTTTACACCCTTACCAGTATGTACTGTAACTACTGCAATCCATGCACACAGTATGCTGAACTTTCTCTTGTTTTTCTGTTTTCTTATGGTTGGTCATAGGAATCTGTGCATCTTCATAATGTTTTTTTGCATGGCCATTTACATATCTGAAATAAATGAAAAACAAAAAGTCTTATACTTTTAAACTATTATTTAATGAACATTCAGTGAAAAAAGTGTAATATAAATCTAGAAGTTACACATTCAGGCATTAAAATAGGCAATTCATCTGTGTGAAAACGCTGGTCAAATTTCTTAACTTTTTCCTGTTAACCTCCCACGTTGCCCAAATTAGCATCTCTGCCTCCTTCACCCTAACCACAAACTAGCATCCTGGATCCCCCTGGATACGGGCCCTCCATAGACCGATTAGCCCCCTTTTTCCACACTGGTAATCTCTAGGTAGTTCTCCCTTTTGTTCTCCCATATACTTTTCTTACAGCTCTACTTTTTTTCCATCCCAGCATTCATCATTTTTGTGATTACTTTAACAGTGTGCTGACTCCCATAAGAAAGCACATCCATTTTAAGCTCTTCTGTTCTGCAGGCTGATTTAGTATTACAGCATTCTACATTTTATAAAGTTCAAGATTTTGAAACACACCAGGGCTTGGGGTCGTATAACCGAAAAGCAATCCAAAATCACTACAGCACTTTTGCTGACACAGTGAACATTTTCATGCCCAAAATTTGAAACGTACCTAGAAATTTAATCATCTTTAATTTTAAAAAAAGTGTCACTACAACTGCAAGCTGAAACTTAGCTTTACTCATTAACTCTTGAAGAGCATGGCCAGAGCTCAGAGAATTGGACGCTCCCCTCGCTTCCTGCTGGCTGAACTCAGTCACACAAATCATCAGGAACTCTGCACATGCCCCACATTAAGATCTCCGGGTCCTTTCTTGTTTCTCAGTATTCTATCCTTGCTCTCGCACACAGGTGTGAACAATTCGGCTAGCATAGCTGTGCTAGTTAGGGGACTGAAGTAGTGTGGTTACTGGCACTGCTGTGCTGGCAGAATCCTGCAACAATTATGTCATAACCTGATCTTTGCGCTTGCAGGAGTTGGTTTTCTGCCTAGCAGTGCCAACGACAGGCTCATAGAGCTGTGCACCCACCAGAAAGGCTTTGCTGCTCTAACACTGTCAGCAACGCTCACGATGGCTCTAACCTGGAGGACGTACCACAATCGAAGGTCTGAGAGGCCCTACTTCCTCTTCCTTCAGTTTCAAACATTATCTGAACAGAACATGCTGCATGCTTACATCCTAGTGGCTTCAAGATCAAAGTGCTCTCTTCACAAGGTATATGACATTTTTCTCATTCAGGTATTTTCATTATCAAGTATGACAGCAATACGGCAGTCAGACCGCATAAATAATTGAACTCAACATCTACTAACTGCATATAAGAAAGGTCATATGTGGACAGTAAAAAAAAAAAAATAAATAAAAAAGAAAAAAAGAAAGAAAAATCGGTAATGGAAGAAGTAAAGCATTCCAAACTACTCATTTCACATGGGCATGTAATACAAAGTAGCTCCTCCTCTTTCATGAGAGGTATAAACTCGTAAAATAAATAAAAATAAAAATGGGGGGAAGGTTTTTTTGGTACTGAAAACTCTGCATGAGGGACATTATTAAAAACCTGCAGCACTTACTTGCTGCTGTCCAGATCAAAGAAAAAAAAAGTTTATTGAACCTACTTTTAAAAGACTCAGTAACAAAGATTAATGATGATTTAAAGATACAGTCACAAAGCTTAGCGATGAATATATTTTCCAGAATAAGAGCACATCAACCCAGATGCTACACTACAGATGAAACATTTTCACATGTCAGGTACTGTCCAAACATGAACACTTCCCGCATTCTCTTTAAATATGTGCATCTCTAACATTTACCTGGCAGCAGATTTTCAGCAGTTTGCCTGACGTATGAATAATGGTTGACTGTATCATTTCTCTAAAAATTCTTTGGGTGTACGTCAACTAATACGGACAAAAAGCAATACTCTGAAGAAATTCTTGCATTAGAAAGTCCTTATCCATTATGACAATTATTGTGTTTCAGAACCATGCTGCAGCATATTCAAGATATTTTCACTTTAAGCTGGACACTTGCTATCTTCTCAAAATAAGCTAGGCCAAATTTGGGTTTCTGGGTTTCCAAAAATTGCTACTGTTTTAATCTTTTCACAATACAACTCTCTCTTACAGAATGGAATTTTAACTATAGTTCACAGATTTAACAGCTGTCCAGACACTTTGAGCTGACTAATCACATTCACCACTCACTTTTCTTTTGAAAGGGATGCTGAGTATAATCGCTGCACTCCTGCAAGGTAGCAAAGAGGCATGTTCAATATAAGTGTACACTGTGAAATGAAATCATAGAAGGTTAATTTCTGGATATTCTCAGAAATTCAGGAAATTCTAGAGCGAACTGCTTCAGAGTCAAGCTGCAAAGGAAAAAAGATGAAGGCTTGATTAAATAATTTTTACACTGACACTTGGTACTTACCTTCCACAATGGACACTTGAACACGTCAGACAGACCCATGGACTTTTATTCGATCGGCACACTATGAAAGAGGAAAAAACCCAAGAGTCAAGTGAATTTGCTGTGACAGTATAGCTATGTAACACATCTTGAGCACTAGCAATAGCTCTGCTCCGATTCCACCTTGGCAGCACAGTTACACTAAATAGCTGGCTGTGTACATTACTAACCTATGCTAAGGACTGAAGTGCTATTCACACTAAAGCAGGTTAGCCTTTCTCTGTTTTAGGTTTTTGCCACAGGCTACACATTTAACTGTTACTTTCCTTGAAAAATTTTGTTTGGGTTTCGTTTTTATTAGATCCATATGAGGTCTACTTGGTTTTGAAATAAAACACAAATATCACAAGCAAACGTTGCAAGAACAGCAGAGAAGTTTAAAGTCATTTCATTTATTTTTCAGTAAGACAGTCCACAGAACGCTGACAAAAGCCACAGCAGTTGTCTTCTGTCTCAGAAAACCTGCTGTATAAGAAGCCATTTTAAAGAAGAAACTGTTAGAAAGCCTGACAATCTGATAAGGAACAGATCGAATAAATTACTGTGTAACTCACGATAATACATACCATTTATACAATTATTATTCTTATGCTACAGTGCTGGCAAAGGCCTTATCTATAAAGATTTTCCTCTTCCAATCAAGCACAAGAAGCTGAAAAGTTAAACTGCAATAAAGCACTATGCTTTGCAATCTGTTCAGGACACCGGAAGATAACCATTAAATGGAGGAAAACTAGGAAAACTAAAATTTAATCTGAAACTAAACATGGATATCTTTAAGCTAAAGGGCTGGGGAAAAGCCAGCAGATACTAGAAAACACAAGTTCATGACAATACATCATACTAGGGTGGGGTCATAAAAAAATGGATATTCTAACTCCTCCCCAAAGCCAGTAGCCACGTCTCTAAAATTCAGATTAGAAACAAAGCAGTCTCAATAATCAACCTAGATAGGCAGAACACATAAAAACGGGCAACCAGATCAAAATTGAGGTCAATTAAGTCAAAAAAGTACGCGCATCTTTCTAAAGACTAGCAATATTGGAACTACAATTAAATTAATATTGAACCTTCAATTCCCAGAGGAATTCTAAATTAGATCATGTCAGTGAAGGATATGATACATATAATGCTATGATATATAATGCTCAGAGTTGAATACCATAAAATTGTTAACTACCATCAATAACCACAGAGTTCACAGTAACAGCACCACACTTTCGAACAGCCCCACTAGGATGACAAAAAAAAAAAAGAATGAAATCCTAAGGGCATTTCTGCAAAGGGTAGAAAATAACACTAAAGAGAAAACTTCAATTATCCTCAAAATATAAGATAATATAAATATAAGATCAAATATACAGGTGCAATACTATCTAATTTTTTTTGCACACCATGAACAGCAGCTTCTTGGAGCAACTAGCCAAAAGAGTCACAGAGGAAAAGCAACACATCAGAAGCATTACCAGAGTCTGTAAAGCCAGGGTGAAAGAGGGACAAGAGAGGAGTTTACGCAATTTGTGCACATGCACAAATTATTTATATTGTTGGTCACTGTGGAAAAGCTTTGAGAGGAAAACAGACTTAACCGTCTGGAGTCGTGCCTCAGAGAGATGAACTGGAGAAACTGAAGGGAGCACAAGAGCCACTTCAGCGCCAAGATCACCTGGCCAGGCTAAGTCGGAAGTTGTAAAGGAACTCAAAAACAGACTGACCAAGCTACACGCTTTGTAAAACATGGTATATATCAGACTGTTAAGGTCAAAGACTATCACAGAAAACTAAGCTAACAAAAATGAATTAAGTTTCTTTATCAGGTTAACTGCTAATTAAAAAGAAAGCAGCAAGAGGGTCAGTTTTTAAGCAGGAGAGAAGTGACCATGTAAGCTATTTATTTAAAATTAAAAATTTTACTATGTTCACTGGAAAAAAGCACAAATATTTATGTATACTGTAAAATGTAACATACATGTTATTTGAAGTAACTGTTTTAAATTATTTAGCAAAGACTCTGAATTGCTTTCTTAAACTGATGCAGTTATAGTTTTACTTTAGAAACACATTTTCATGTTGTTTCAGTCTTCTGTTGGTTTTTCAGCAATCAATTTTCCCTTTTCTAAAGCTGACAATTCCCACAACCGTGATGGTCACTTTACAAAAGATCCGGAAGAGTCCGATAGTTTTGGCTTACATTGCAATTTAGAAAAGTGAAAGCAATTTGTTTAATTTGATCAAAAAATCCCACAACTTCTCAATTTATTTCCCTGAACTACAAAAACTAAAAGTCACCAGAAGGAAATAGAAGCCAAAAATCATTCATGCATTTAAGCACAGATGTGATATCTAATAGCTGCTTAAGCACTGTGTGAACAAACCACCACCATTATCCTACATTTCTTTGCTGGAAACATGAAACAGTCCTGCTGGCTTTAAAATTCTGGCAGAAACCTAAGTTTTTAAATAAAATTTTTGATTTCACTACATTATCGTCTGGGTACAGAACTACCTCAACCAGTAAGTTACAGAATAAGGATGCCAACTATTATTCTTACCTTCAACTATATACCAGATAATGACAATCTCACATTCAGGTATTTTAAATATTAGCACTGTTTGGTTACAAAGTGTTTCCAGAGTTAAACCACATTGCAATTGTTCTCATTCACCCGAGTTCATACCATGTTTAAGTGTTCTGCAGAAACCCAGCAAACAAGTCCACCAGCTCTGCACAATCACAAATAAAATTTTCCAACTTTCACATCAGAGAATAGTAAAGGATAGGCTGTTTGCTTTAACTTTTAGGAAGAACTTTGCTCCCATTGCATCACATCAGGATTGTGTAGTTTATCTTCCGCACAAACATCTCCTCCCACAAAGAACTCAATATGGAAGTGACTCCCACTAAGATTAAACACAGAGGCCAGCATTAAATTTATGACCTGCAGTTGCTCTGTTCCTAGAGGATTACACAATTTTGTTTTTTAAAGGTTGCTGAAGGTTGCGTTCTATATTTCACCGAGGCTGGCTCAGTAGATACCTGCATTAAAGCTAGGTCTTCCTCCATCCAAGTCTTGAAGGAGTTTCTGTCTGACACTTATTATTAATAATTAAACTAGGCATGGAGCCTCAAGCATTGGTCAGGACCCTAACGAGACAGGCACTGGGGAACGCACTGCAAAAAGATAGTCACTGCCATGAGCTGCTTACAGTCCAAATTAGAGATAGTCCAAATTAAGCTGTCAGGAAAACACATGTTATTCCTTTCAGATGTAGTATAGACATGAAGACACTAGGCTTAACAATAGGTCAGAAAAAGAGACACGGGTCCACGGCAAATCCCTCCTCAACTGCAAACACGTTACACGGTCTCAGCAGTTGGCCTTTAACACAGACTTCAGTGTTTGGGCCTCCCAGGTCAAATAATGGCACATAATCACAAGGAAAGACCCTCAGACCCGTTTGTACAGGTACTTACGCCTGAACTTCCCCCTCCATAATTAGTATTCCAAATAGGATTTGGGGGTGGGTTTTTTTTTTTCCTTCTAGTGCTATTTAAAAAAAGGAGGGAGGAGACCACATTAGTCCTCCCCAAATCTGGAATACAGTTTAGTCAAAAATCTTAAAACTTGTAGCTAAATTAAAAAAATAAAAATTAATTGTGTTTATTACTGCTTATTTAATATTATATAAGCTAAGGAACGCTGGCTGCTTTCTCAACTAAAGAAGCCATTGCAACAGTTAGCAACTGGCCCATTTCACTGTATTTTTAGAATAGCCTCAAGCAGTTGGGCAAAGATTATATTAACATCTCGGAGAAAAAAGAAAACAAATCTGCAGTGCCACTGTGCTGCCTGAAACAGTGAGTCATTTGCCATTTTACATCAGTATCAGCTTACTCAGAGGTGTAGAAACCATATTATTTAATCATGTAGCAGGAAGGGGAAGTACCATCCTTTACAGATGGATCTCTGTAAGTGAAATCTGAATGCTCATTTGTTATACCGGCTGCAAAGCTCTCTAAATGAAGCAGAGGAGTATCAATCCATCCCCTAGAGAGCAAACAAACAGCATATGCACAGCCTCACACACAACTATGGGAACATTCAGAAACGTCCCCACCTCCCTCTCAAGTTTCCACTTTCTGTAACTCATCCTGATAAATAATGTTCATCAAGTTATGTAAAGTAGAATGACTAAGATACGGATAGTCAATCTGTTACTCTCACCACAGGGCTCCCACCCCAGCTTTCCCTCATGATCACTCAAACACGTACTTCTGAATCTTAACCGCCTCCCCCCCCCCTTACTGAAAACAGGCTCCAGACACAGCCTTGCGAGGCAAGAATACTCCTGGCAAACACACTGCTCCTCACAGAACAAAGCTGCAGATTTCCACTGTAGGAAAGTTACAACTATGTAAAGTATATAAACAACCCATGAAACTAATAGTTTTGTTTAAATAGCACACTACATAATTTAGAAACTGGCAAAAGAAAAAAGCAGCAGGAAGAGGAGGAGACAAACAGGAAGCAGCTTTTGTAAGGCAGCCAAGTCGAGAAACCTGCAAGGCGCAGCAGCGTTCACCGGAGGAGAACCGGGCAGCGCGGCGCTCATGGGATCAGCTCGCGCTGGCGACTTGGCCAGTCGCAGGAGCAGAAACAACCTCAGGGCATGGCTACTACACATCTATGTTTACATCCAAGTTTTAAAATAGTCCTTTAGTACATCGCTAAGGAAAAGGCCACAAAATATCGGCACAGTGAGAGCAATTTTGGTCCTTCTGTTACAAGCACACTGAATGGAAACGAGATTAGGGTCATTAAGCTATCTCCAGTACTTTCCACATCCTTTACAAAACAACCTGGACTTTGTTCTCATAGGAACTCTACAAGCACTACCATTTTACAGGTATAATTATATGGTTAAATTACACAGGCATAATGATCCACACAGAAACATCTTTGAGCTAAGTGACATTTTTTTCAGTTCAATTTATGTTGACATAGCAGGTCAGCTATACTGACACAAGCTAAACTGAAAAAGCTTAGCTGTTATTTCAATAAGCATCTATAAAAGGAGTAATATTTATATAGCTGTGGTCGCACTGATACAGTGACAGCACACCAAGCAAACTGGCCCAGAAAAATAAGCACTTGCTGACAAATACATATATGATATAAATACCTATCTCCAAAGAAAATTACATGGCAAAAAATACACTTGTACCCTCATATTGCCTCACAATCCCTCACTGCTCTGTTCTGTTAATATTTGGTAGCAAGGCAATGTTATTTTATGCTCTGCTCCAAGAAAGCTGACAAATACAGCAAAAAAAAAAATAGGCTGACTCCACTAACAGCATTTTGAAGAAAAAAGAACCAACAGTTCACCTAACAAAATGCAAAACCCCTACTATGCGAAATATGTTTCTGTCTGCAACGCATCAGTCCTAAGAAACTGGACCGAAAGTTTTTGCCTCCAAAGATCTGGAAGTAAAGATGAGAGAAATTTGCAAGCCAAAAATCCTGGGAAATGATCACCAGTGGTGGGAATACAAAACTCTGCACAGAAGTTTAATGGAAATTATGTAAGTCGCTTTATCAATAATATCTCAAATGCAAAGTTCTTCAGGCACAGGATTCAGAGCACTCCTCACAGAGCCCAATTACATTTTATAGACTGATAAAATGGAATGGGGGGTGGGGGGGAACAGATCAAATAGTTTGCCAAAAGAATCATTTTAAGCTTATCACCACAGATCAGAATGGGAGAATAGGCTTTACTAGCCCTAACACTTTAGGCCTCTGTGTCATGGTATTGGTAGGCAATAGTAAGATATCCCAAAACTCAGCAGTCTACACCTAACTATGGTGGCTTGCCAAAACATCTCTGAATTAAGCACCTACAATTTCCTATATGCTGCGTAAAAGAAACATCAGGCATCCAAGAGAGAAACCTCTGAAAGCTAGTATTCTGAGCAGGGAATTGCCCCGGTTTTTCAGCCCAGGAGAAACATCAAGGAGAAGACTGTGTTGGATGTCATCCCTCCTTTGGGATTACACGCTGGTCTGGTCTGCAAAAAGGCACTGGCCACCACTAGTATTTACAGCGCTGGACTTTCTTCTGGATGCAGACACAAAGTCTTTTCCAAGACTGAATAAATCAGCTGAAGAGCTTTTTCTGCACAACCCCCACTCATTCAAGATGCGAATCAGATTTAATTCCCTCTTTTGCCAACAGGAATTCAAACTCACACCTTCCACCCCAAGGGACTTCCCCTCCAGACTATTCCTAAATAACTGGTTCTTTGTTAAAGACAGCACTTTGCATGGAATAACGAACAATTCCTTCAACCAGTGGGATGAAGCAAAAGAGAGTATGACTTTCCTCAAGGCTAGCATTTTCAGCTTTTACCCAGGTTCCAGTCTCAGCAGCAATTAGCAGCCATGCGGTCTATATTCAAAAACTATCGGGTAAAACATGCAGTCATGAGAACTGAAACTGGAACCCTGGATTCTCCACCTACAAACGAACTGTCCAACCGCCACATTAGAGAGCTACACGCACTCTTGCTCCATGGCTCATAAACCCTGTCATAACGCAGCATACACAGACAGCTTCTCAGGGCAAAAAATAGACGCGACAACCATCACAGAACATCAGTCAGGACTAAGGCGCTTCTGGATATGCCGAGAATCAGACATTTGGCATCGCAGAAACACCTTAACAGCAGATTCAAAGATGCCTACAAAGCACAGTGTGTCCTCCAAGGTTAGGCAGGATTTTTATAGGCAGCATATAAAAATCCAAAACAGGTAACGTAAGCTACTTATGACCAAGTACATATTTATTAATACATATTATAATGTTAGACATTTTTTGACTTTGCATTCTTTGAAAGGAACGAGCATCCACTGCACGCATGCGTGTAAGCTTTGCTATCTGACCCTATTGTCTGTGTATATGTACAGGGAGTAAGTGATACTGAAATAAGCATCTCACATAGATATGTTGGCAAAACCGTAAGATAGGCATTAACATACAAAGAAGTTCACCGAGTCATGCAAAATGCTGATTATTTCATGATCTAGGGGTAGGTTCTAGAACTTAAATACTGAGCTAAATGATTAGCTTGGGGGGAGGGGGATAGAGGAGGGTGTTACTCTTTAATAGATATGCATAGTTTATCTGCTCTGAATTTTAAGATCTGAAGGCTAGCCAAATCCAGGTGAGCAACTGTTATGAAAACCAAGTGACTGAAAAAGGAAGAAAATGTTATAAGAATATTTTTACGCCTCTGAGTAGGAATTTAGCTAAAACCCCATTGCAGACACTGAGAATGCAGGGGAAAAAATAATAATTAAAAAAACCCTAAACATTATAGGCTTCGAAAATGAGAGTCGTGCTCTAGACCTTTATTACTTACAAGACTGCTGTTGCAATGTTTAGGTTTTAGAGAGTATTCCCATTTGTTATCAAACTTCGTAGACAGCTCTTTTTATCCTACCCTCACCTCCATTACAGGAAGTTCATAAATGGACTCAACTTGTTTTAAACTATCTGATACTAGCCAGTTAAAAATATATTCTTTTCAGTAATCATTTACATAAGTTTCATTTGTTACCTATTTTAGAAAAATAGCATTCCAATCAAAGTGAAACCTAGACAAAAAGGGAAATGACTTTTAATTAGACTATTTAAAATATTGTGTTTTTATATCAGCTGACACCCACGTACGGAAAGAAGAGATAAGAAAAGATAAAAATTTAAATTTAAGATAAAAATTTAAATTATCAGGGCAAGAAAACTTACAAGGAAGCAAATTTCCTGATAGGCATTACTAACAATAGGAAAATGTTAACCATTCTTCCAGTGTTGCGTACCCTTGTAAGAGATGCACAATGAATAGAAGTCAACTGCATCAAGTCCTAGTCTGACTGAAATCACATTCAAATGTAAGAGAATATAAATAGACTCCAAAGTTTAATAAAAACTCAAACTTAAAGCGATGCAAAAAACCAAAAACCCCATTTACTACTTCCGCCATTAGCTTTCAGCCAAAGCCAGAATGATTAAGTTCTTAGTGAGAAAACAAAATAACCCAAGTCATTTTTCTGATGAAGTCTGAACTTATGAAATCAACCAACATTTGTGCTCATGCTTTAATGATACTTACGTGGTATTTCCTGCTCTTTGTCAATAAACAAAAAAGCATTGCTCAGTCTCATATAGGATCTTTCACAGATGGTTACAGTCAACCACTTTACTACAATGGAAAAACATACTTAATTCAGACATACTAAACAATACCTGAATAAGAATGTAAAAGTAAAACATGGGTAAACAATTTTCCATAGAACAAACAAGGTCATTGAAGTTCCCAAAACAAACATATCTGACACTGATTAATGTTCCTCAGAGAACAATGTGATTAGCTTCATCTGCGTATAATTCACCTCCCAAATTACGCTCAACCACACTGGCTTACAGTCCAGGATGTCGATTACGCAATCGCAATTTCACATTGGAAAACGTGGAAGCTGAAAAACACAAGCTTTTTACCAGCCTATCTTCCTAACTGTGTACTGGAAAAGCAGACAGGTAGGTAGGAATGCTTCTTTCAATCACTGTAAACAGAAACATCAGTTCCTGAGGAAGTGGTTAAACGAACTCATAAAATTTAAAAAAAAAAAAAAAAAAAGGAGAGTACACAAGAGAAAAAGCAGCAAACTCAGATGTAGCAGCAAGATCAACACAGAGCATGCGGTGCTTTTTCCTTTATGCTAAAAGGAAAAGGTCACTCATCACTGCTAATCACATCCATTGATACTTTCTCAACAAAAAAGGACAAAGTTAGCCCTCACTCTACAGTGGTGACATTTTTAGGTAATTTACTCTTTTTACATTGGTAAGATACCATGCCAATTCAAACTTGAGGTCAAGAAATGTTAGTGGTTGATTTTCCTGCATATTCCACATAATTCACATCCTAGCCAAAAGCAACAGTGAGGAAATATGCGTTATACATTAATAATAAAAAAAGACATCAATAGTAAGCTTATTTTACTGAACAATCCCAGTAAAATGAGATTTTTAAAAAATCCATTACCTTCGCTTCTCCTTTACACTCTAAACACAAATTTTAGTGGATCAACTATTTTGCTGACTAATTAGTATTCACATTTAAATGCATACACTACATACATACATTTATATATATTTTGAACTGGAAGTTTTAAAAAAAAATGGCTATACCAAGAAAAGACACCTGTAGTTTGACATGGACAAGTAAACACTTTTCTGTAAACAGAATTCTAAATGATTTACATGTGGCTCAGTTTGAAAATCAGTATCTGCTTCTTTTTGAAGTTTTGATGAGACCCCCAAGCCTGACACCATCATCTTGCTTTGAAGTGAAAAGGTGACTACTTGCAAAAAAAAAAAAAAAAAAAGTAAAGGGGGGGGGAAAAAAAAAAAGTAAGGAAAAAAAAAATCTCGGTTCCAGAAAAATCATCTTATTTAGCTAAGCTGCCTGTGGGTATCGTAATTAGATTCAAACTGGGTAATAAAATCTGTCAAAGAAATCTCAAGTTATATTTACAAGATCCAGAATTAAATAGACATTCCAAAAGGAGAAAAAAAAATGGATTGTTTTGACAAGCCAGTTAAGATTGCTGAATGATAAGTGTATTCATCATGCCATCTACAGTTTAAAAAACCCTCTCATAAGATAGGAAATGAATAAAGACATAAAAATCTTACCCTGTCTCCATAACAAGGACACTATAAAGCAATGAATATTTTATCAGATATGGCCATAATTCACTCTATGATAAAAGCTATTTCCTCCAATAATCTCAAAATAAAAATCAGAAAAACCTTAACTAGTTCTCAGATCTAAATTTTTGAGGCGGTTGCAGTTTCCAGACTCCAAGGTCTATGTAATTATGCATGGCCTTTAAGCACTCTTTATCTAGATAACGAATACCTATGTTAAAAATAAGACAAAGCGATGCATTAACAGGTTAGTAAATAAAAAGAGCGGCAATGACCAAGTTTGAAATGGCTCAAAGCTTTGTTTCATTCCAAACACGGGGTCTGAAACTTTCACACTATGAACCTCAGACACAGATGAAAGAAAAGATTAGCTAATCTAGCTCTGTGGGCCTTAGTACCACCTTCCAACCGTGTGTCCTAACTATCAAAAAAAAGTGACTAAAAATAATGCACTGAACTTCAATTTTACCACATGTGTATATTGAAGGGCTTGGGAAAGGCAGGTGAAAATTATTGTCCTGATTAGTTAAACCAGCTGTAACGAGATTTGAACTAAATCTGTGTCAGAGAGACTGTGCTCTAGTGGATAAGTTAAGAGTCTGCCATGCGTACAGAAGCGTCTCTTCTGCACATGTCTGTGTGCCTTAGATATCTTGCTTCCACAATGCCTTGGACTGTCTTGTCTCCTTACCATAGGGTGCATTTTGAAGAGTCATTTCAAACCACTGATTTTTTTTTTTTTATTAGATTATGAAAAAACTTTTAACTTCTCATGGTTAACTTGGATCAGTCAGCAGTAAAATTTATCTTTTGTCATCTTTTACTCTACAAAATCACCATGAATATTCATCAGATCTAGTTTTTGAACAGTCAATGTATTAAATGTTTGACTACTTTCCTCTAAAGAGGTCTCTTCCCTTAGCTAACGTTCAAGTTTTGTGATGGAGCGTGACTTTGCTGAGCAGAGAGCATAAACAAATTTTTCAAAAGAATACCTAGAAAATATTAATTGTCATCAAGTCAAAGTTTATTGACTCATATATTCTCTCAAGTGATGTAAAGTATTTGAAAACCTCCAGTCATCTTTCTGGTAATTAAAAGGAAAATCAGATCTAGTTTATGAGACTGAAATAGAGACCCTTACCCCACCACAATAAGCGTGTATCGTCTAATGCAATCAGTTCCAAAGCACTATCCCCTCTCTATCATGCAGGCTGAAATAACTCTTGCCAACATGGTTAGCTCATACATCATAACAGACTCAAATGGAAAAAAAAATGTTAATAGCTTTAATGAAAACAAGACTAGGTCTAAAACAAAACAAATTGAACAGGCTTTGCTTAAAAAGACAGCCAAGGATTGAATTTAAGGAGATAGATATAACAACCTATAAAGTGAAGAGTTTATTAACAAGCATTCCTGCATCGCAATGACTCAGAGCAACAGATGAAAGACTACTCTACTTTGAAATTAAATTTATGTGCCTGAATAAAAGAGGTAATTTTTAGATATTCATTTTGATTTGGCCTGATAATTACCAGAATTAGTCTGAAATTAAAGAAGAACTTTCCAAATATAGGGTAACAAACAACGCTCACACATAGAAACCATTACCCTCACGTACTGCCTGTGAGCTTACCCTGATTCTACGTGCAACTGACTGAAAGGTCCTCCTAAGAAGCACGTCCTAGCTACCTCTCTCCATTTTCGGTGAGGTCTCTCCCCTTCTCCCAGATTATGGTAAGGAATGAAAGAAGAGAGGAAATGAGGACCTCTGGTAATAAAAAGGAACAAGCAAGAGGAGAGACAAATACTCATGGAAATGGAGAAGAAAGACTAATACGCAGCTGAGATCAAAAGGGAAGCTGAGAAGGTTAAAGTCTGTGTACCTGTGCATGTACAGTATATTTGTTTTGGCATCGACTGCCATAGCCCAACAGTGCAACGCCAAAAAGCACAGCACGGCAGAACAGTGGTACCTACCTGACCTACCTGGATGAATAGAGAACTGTGTAACTCATTTTTCGGGGGGGGGGGGGGGGGGGGAACTCACAAAAAGCAGTCTCACCCAATACAATCATAGTCTTGAAAGTTCTCCCACTCAGCCCAAAATATTTGCTCTCACATATAAATAAAGCATTCAGTGACATTTTGGATGCTTCTGAACTAACAATGCCATTTTGTAAATTACTTTAAACACAGAAAAAAAAGTCACAATTCAGCATGCAGATTTCCACCATAAACATTGTTTGCTAGCTTCCTCATGCTTGCTCTCCTCTGTACTTTTAATAGTCTCAGAGTCATTTGTAAACACCACAGTGTATGTTTCTGACCAACTGTGAAATTAGAGCTCTTACTCAAAAGCAGTTAGAATGGCAGAAACAGATACCAGGCAAATATGTTTAGCTTCTGCAGAAAACACCACTCTACAGCCAAAATAGCTCTTCAATACCTAACAAAACTACATTATTTAAGAAAAAAATATAGATATTTAACCGGCAGTGATCTGAAACACAGAAGTTTTAAGCATACTTCAGAAAGACAATTTCCAAAAAAAAAAAAAAAAAAACCATTTCAGCAGACACAGCCCTATCTGTGTGCATTTGTTCTTCTAAAGAAGTAACTTGAAATTCTACACTGAACAATCAATGAATTCACCTCAACCATGCAGAAAAAAAGTTGGCAAAACTCTTCAGACTTGCACAGGTGTGCTTAGAAGACTGTAATCTTATTTAGGTGCGGCATGGCTCCCTGTGGTTTCACGAGTCTATGAAAAGTTGTTGGGAAATACCACATCTGAGTTGTTCCAGAATACTTTTCATAATTACGTGATTTGCACAACAGTGCCAAAGGTGTGGCACATCATACAAATTCAACTGATTCAGGCTGTGACACTCTGCAGTCTTGCCAATGCCTCCAGCTATTCTACTTCCAACTTCAGCAGAAGTTACAGAAATTAAAGCACATGGAACCACTGCACTCTAACTGGAAGTAGCAGACATCTGCATGTAATACTTCTTCACGTGGCAGCACTGATTAAAAGGAATTTTCAGTTTCTGTACAATTTCTGCTTCACATATTTATCTCCTCTCAAATGCCCAATTAGAACAGCACTAACAAAAAAAAATCTGGATCCCACATGAGGCATTCTGTGCTCTTTCCGACAGCGTTGAAACTCCTCAAAGCATACGTATGCTGCTTTTTGCATCGCTTACTGTACAAAGCACACTTGACAGGATAAAATACTCAGGAGAAAGCATGCCATCCTCTAAACAGACGTGCTTAAACTCTCCGACTTCCAAAGTATTATAGTTACATACACATTAATAACATAGCAGAAGTTCTAGAAGCACCTCGAAACGGGCATATACCATTACTCTAACTTGGAGCCAAAACGTTCATATTTGATCAATACATTTGTCATCAGTGCTTCCTCTTACTGCTCTCTAGT